GCTGGGCAAGACGGGAGCCCTTCCAGTTCCCTTTTTCCGAGAGTTCCCGTCGGTCGGTGGCAGCCTGGGAGTCTGGAGTACTGGGTGTTGGTCCCCCAAACCCTGCTTCCCAGTTCCCAAGTGTCCCTGGCACTTCAGCTGATTTCTCTAGTTTCCTCTTTTGTAAAACGGGGTGCTGGCTTTCTTTCTGCCTCATTTGTGTGTGTATGGTAAAATATGCATAACAAAAATTGACCATTTCACCCATTTTTAAGTGGGCAGCGGCATTAAGTGCATTCACATTGTTGTGAATTGCTTCGGTTTTTTTTAAAGGCTGTGAGAAGAGCCTGCCTGGAGGGAGACTGATGAGAAGGGATGTCCTAAACCGGCTCTTTTCTTTCTTGGGTTTATCTGTAAGGGCCCTAGGATGGCGTGAAACGGGGATTGGTTGGAGTCTTACCAAATAGGCTTTGCATCTGTGTGTGTCACTGTTTAACCACTTTCACGGTGGACTTTCTGTTTCCTCATCTGCAGAATGGTGATAAAGAGGGAGAGGATTTAAAAGAGACAATGTTTATGAAACACTTGGCTTGAGGGCAGCCAAAATCGCATTTACTGCCTAAGTGGGAGATACAGTTTTTTCTGGGGAGAGCATTCTTAGCTTTCGTCAGGCATCGGTGATCCCCAAAAGATTAGACACCCCTATTCTAAGATGAACCAGAGCGAGATCTATCAGCGCTGTGTCCCAGGAAGCCCTTGGCTGGGCTGGGGTTGTGGAGTCTGACTCTTCCAGCAGGAAGGAGGAGTTTCCCTGCACCCCCTCCATACACTCTGCCTGGTAACAGGGGACTTCACTCCCCTGTCCAGGTCCCTCTCCACCTTCATTTCTCACTGTGGGCCTGGCAAAGGCGGTTAATGATGGCCAGTGTTTATTGCACTTTGGTGGCTGTGCCAGGTAAAGACTTTATTTACATTATCTCAGTAAATCACAACATCCCTATGAGGTGGATACTGTTACTACTTCCCTTTTACAAAGAGGGAAACTGAGGCCCAGAGAAGGCCTCAAATAGTAACCTGTCCAGTGTTAAACAGCAAATGGCAGAATTTGAACCATCGCTGGAGACAGGGTCCCTGCCCTTAACCACTGAGCTGGAATGCCTTCCTGTAAAAGGCCATTTGTAGATACTTGAGATAATATGTTAACTCCTGGTGCTTGTGGCCAGAGCTGCTACAAGTCCCACTTGATCCCCAGGTGGCCAGGTGGTGCTCCAATGGGCAGCAGGTAATGTCAGCCTCCTCCCACACCTCAGAGCAGAGTTGCTAGTCAGGGGCCGGTTATTGCCCCCTGCAGGTGCTAATGAGGAGGGAAGTGGAAATAAAGTGAAAAGGAGCAGCTAGGGATGGGCTGGGAGAAGCTGCCAGAAGCCGAGCCTGGGAATTGCCCTTCTAATGCAGGCTGGATTTCCCAGAGAAATCCACTTACTGTCTGACCCAACATGCCCTGCAAGGCAATTAAAAAAAAAAAATAAACTGTCATGTGGTCTGCCCAGAGGACCTAAATCTGAGATCATCACTACCTCCAGGATCTATGCATGGAAGGGTAACTTTTTATTTCTAACAAATAACCCTTGACTTTTATTTAGCAACAAGCCCTCAAACCTCTTAATTTCCTTGGGTGCCCTGATAGTACAGGGGTGGGCAAGGCATTCCCATTGCAAAGAAGAAGAAACTGGGCTGGAAAAAGTTAAAGATCACTTCTAGGGACCTGAAAATTTATAAATCCATGCCATTCCCAGACATCAGACCAAATTAGTCCAGGACTAAAATAAATGGAATGTGTTTCCCGTTCCTTTTCATCTATTTTGGGCTTAGTCGTCTTGGGTGGGTGGAACGGGCTGTGTGTGCTTGCCCTGTCTGCCCTGGGTGTGTGGATGACCTGGGACAGGAGAGGATGAGTGCCCTGCAGGTAGAGAGGAGACACTGCTGGGTGGAAAGTGCGAGGTCAGTGCAAAGTCAAGGTTAGAATGCCTTTAGAAGCCTATTTGTAAGGTTGCCAAAACCTGAAGTTTCTGCCTCCATCCTGAGGAACTGGCCAGGGAGAGGGTAGCCAGTCTGGTTTCTGTTGCTTGTGCCTCCCTGAGAGCTCCGAGCCTTTCCATGATGTGCATACCAACTTCATGGTGACTTGCTCCAGGGTCAGAGGGTGAGTTGGAAGCCCAGGGTTTAGGTAAAAAAACTTAGGGCATGGCCTTAGATTGTGTGTGTGTGTGTGTGTGTGTGTGTGTGTGTGTGTGTGTGTGTGTGTGGAGGGGAAGAGAGACGAACTCATCCAATTTTTACCAATTGTTCTGTGGCTTAGGGGGAGAGGCAGAACAGTGATTTGGAGTTTGGGTTTTGCAGTTAGGTAAACCCAGGTTTATTCTTGGCTCTGCCACCTCCCAAGAATGACACCTTGGGCAGGTAATTTAACTTCTCTCAGTTTCAGTTTTCCTCATCTCTAAAATGGGTTCAATAGTGGGAGGTCCCCACTCATCCTGCTTTCTTCCTGTTTTCCGCCCACATTCAGATGTGGAGGTGAATGGGCAGAACTGGACCTTTGCTTTTGACTTCTCCTTCCTGAGCCAAAAAGAGGATCTGGAGTGGGCTGAGCTCCGGCTGCAGCTGTCCAGCCCTGTGGACCTTTCCCCTGATGTCCCGATCTCCATTGAGATTTTCCATCAGCCAAAGCTGGAGACAGATCAGGACCCAACCAAATGCCTGGAACGTCTTCAGATGGAACTGTTTACTGTCACTCTGTCCCAGGTTACCTTCTCTTCAGGCATCATGGTCCTGGAGGTGACCAGGCCACTCTCCAAGTGGCTGAAGCACCCTGGGAAGTTGGAGGAGCAGATGTCCAGTTTGGCTAGAGAGTGTTGGCAGCGGCCTCCCACACCAGCTGTCACCAATGTGCTCCTCCTGCTCTACTCCAACCTGTCTCCTGAGCAGAGGAGGCTCGGTGGCTCCACCTTGCTGTGGGAAGCTGAGAGCTCCTGGCGGGCCCAGGAGGGACAGCTCGTCAGGGAGAGGGGCAGGAGGCACCCTCGACATCACTTGCCAGACAGAAGCCAACTGTGTCGGAAGGTCAAGTTCCAGGTGGACTTCAACCTGATTGGATGGGGCGCCTGGATCATCTACCCCAAGCAGTACAATGCCTATCGATGTGAGGGCGAGTGCCCTAACCCTGTGGGGGAGGAGTTCCATCCAACCAACCACGCTTACATCCAGGTATGATGCCCAGGCGTGGGGGAGGGCAGGCAGTCTGTGGGGGAGAAGTGGCTCTACTGCCAGATCAGAGGCACGCGACTCCGACGTGTTCATTCATTCCTGCAGTTATTCAAGCACCTACCGAGTGCCAGCTCCTAATGATATGGAGAAGGCCAATGACAACAGCCTCAGAAAGCCTACATGGATAGAGTCATGCCCCCTTGTGCAGTCTTGGACACGTTGCTTTCCTGGGACTTTTTCTTTGTCTGTCACAAAATTAGGGGTGGAGTGTATATACACTGGGTCTCAACTCCTCCCCAACCCTGACATTCTAGGAACCTGAGGCTTTGGGATAGGGAGGCCTGAGTTTGATTCTTACTTATTAGCTGTGTAATATTGATCAAGTTACTTACTCTCTCTGAGCCTCAGTTTTCCCACCTGTAAAATGGGGATAGCAGTGCCATATTTCATAGGGATGTTATAGGGTTAAATGAGACAATATGTATACTGCATGTATGGTAGTTGGCAGATATAGGCATGTTTGATGTTGTGTTATCATTACTAGAAGTCTGTGATTCACTGATGAAATGGGGGCCACATTTATGGGGCCACGGTTGAGATAATACGATCCCAGCCACTGTACTTTTGCTGCCTAAAATGGGAATTGGGCACCCATTTTGCAGAAGTTAGATAAGGCCATGGGCTACCACCAGGTGTCACTAATCAGCCTGAGTTCTAAAAGGTGGTGCAGGGAAAGGAATGGAAGGAGAGTGAGATGGAGAAAGTAGAGAATAGAGGGCAGCCCTGGCCGGGTGGCTTGACTGGTTGGAGCATTGTCCTCTACACCAAAAGTTTGCTGGTTCAATTCCCGGTCAGACACATACCCAAGTTGCAGGTTCCATCCCTTATCCAGGCATGTATGGGAGGCAACCCATTGATGTTTCTCTCTCTCTCTCTTCCTTCATCTCTCTCTAAAAATCAGTAAAAACATATCCTCGGGTGAGGATTAAAAAAATAAAAGAAAAAAAGAGAATAGAGGCTAATATAGTGGTCCTGGTATTATAGGTAGTCCTGCCCTGCTCTCAAAGGTCATATGGGACCGACGTGTTTTTATTTACTCCAAGAAGCCTAGACTGAGAATCTCTTCGACCTAGAGTGCATCCTCCATGCCAAGCCTCAGGCGAGGTTCAGAGGCTCTGGGGAGCATGTGAGCTGAGCTTATGCAAGGGAGGCACTGGCAGGGGCCAGCTCCCTAGGGGACCTTTCCTGGGCAAAGGCCCTCATGAGCTTCTCCCAGGCCCCACAGTACTCCATTAACCCACCTGCAGCATGATCAGAGGGAACCACAGGGACCCAGATAGTCCCAGTTTCCCACTCTGACCTGAAAAGATGTAGTTGAACCACAGGGACAGGGCCCAGTTCCAGAATGCCAATGGGTTACCTTTTCTCCCATTGACTCTGTTTGCCCTTCTCTGGGCAACAAAGCAAATCCCACAAGAATTTCCACATGACTCTCTTCTGCCCCATATTTTTGGAACTAAGCAGGAGTTTCTTGGAATATTTTATAAACTGGTATTCACTCTAGACTATAATAATAGGAAAACAGATAAGTTAGCTACTGTTGTACCCAGATACAGCTTTTAGAATCTTCTGTTTAAAATCTGTTTAAGAGATGCTTTAAAAAAGAGAAAGTGATTTTAGAAGTTAGAGTCGATGATGTATTGGCATGCTGATTCTGTTATGAAAACAACTTTCTTCTATATTTGCACCCAGACCTAGACTCTCTATACCTTTTTCACCCTTTACCCAGAAATCACACTCTTCTGACCTGACCATTGGGCTATGAATTGACTCCTCTCCTCCCTTTCACAGAGTCTGCTGAAACGGTACCAGCCCCACCGAGTCCCTTCCACCTGTTGTGCCCCTGTGAAGACCAGGCCATTGAGCATGCTGTACGTGGACAACGGCAGAGTCCTTCTAGACCATCATAAAGACATGATTGTGGAAGAATGTGGGTGCCTTTGAGGAGATCTGGAGGGGTGCTGGATTTGCCTGTACCCTGGAAGGCTGGGAGGCTCCTGGAAGACACAATAACCATCCCAGCCAATGAGGGGAAATAAAGGGGGAAGGCTGCTCTGTCCACCAGACCTGAGGAGGAAGGCTGCCCACCCTGTAAATGAAGGCCTTCGAGTCTGGCTAAACACAGAGGCTGTCAGAGGAGGGAGGAGGAAACGTGAAGCAGTCCTGCTGGGTTTTCTCTTTACTGGACAGACAGTGGCGAGTGAAAGCACTAATGCAAGAGATCTTACCTGCCTTTTTAAAACCTGTGCACCCCTGGAAATCATATGCAAAAGTTGGAGCATATATGCAATTTTGAGGTGGGACAAGGTTGTCTATAACTTTTATGTATTCTCAAAAGTGGTCTTTGACACCCCCGCCCCCAAAGATTAAGCATCATATGTTAAATTAAAAAGTCAGTCAGGCCCTGGCCAGTGTGGCTCTGTTGGTTGGAGTGTTGTCCTATACACCAAGAGGTGGCAGTTTGATTCTGGTCAGGGCACATACTCAGGTTGCGGGTTCAATCCCCGGTTGAAGCGTGTGCAGAAGGCAACCAATTGATGTTCCTCTCTCTCTCTCTCTCTCTCTCCTCTCTCTCTCTCTCCCTTTCCCTCTCCCTTCCTCTCTCTGAAATCAATTTTTTAACAAAGTATGGTGAAGGCCTGGGGCAGGGGTAGGTGCAGGATAGAAGGGATCAAGGGGGGAAAAAAGGGGACATCTATAATACTTTCAACAATAAAAATAAATTAAATAAATAAAATTAAACATTTTAAAGTGAAAAATAAATAAATTAAAATGTTAAAATATAAAATAAATAAAAATAAAATAATAAGTGAGTTGGCTCTCGTTGCCTCTGGCTGGGTTGGGGACCTCCACATCTTTCCAGCTGGCCAGCAGCACTCTGTTGGCCTTGTGCAGGCTCTCTGAAGTGGGTCTGTGCTAATGAGCTGTACAGTCAATAAAGCCATTGTACGGTCCTTCTGGGCCCCTGGTGCCTTTGAAGGGAGAGGCAGGGACTCATCCAAGAGAGCTGGCCACTTTGGACTACAGAAGCTGGAGCCCCCAGACACCCTCCGAGGCAGTCTGCTTTGGCAGACACAATCCGAGTCTATTAAAGTTGGTGACAGTTCACCTCCATCTCCTACTGCATGCTATTAATGAGGACCCTGAGCTTCCTATCCAGTAGGGGTAAAGGCTCTGCCCTGGGTGTTAGCAGATTTGGGTTATGGTCACAACTCAGACACTGAGAAGCTGTGTCCCTCAAGTCAGTAATTCACTGCTCAGCCTCATCCTGTGACATGAAAGCAGGTGGATCCTAATGCATTCCTGTGAAATGTCCATTGGCAGGTTCAGAAGAGCCGTGAGCTTTAAGCCAGGCTGTCCTCTGTGCATTATCCCATCTCCTCACAAAACCTGCTAAGCTCAGGCCCTGCCATCCCCATTATCTATCCTTTATCAGCTTTTGCTGTCCAGGGTTGTAAGATCACCTTAATTTCAGGTTCCTCATAGCAGCACAGCCAAAGGAACACACATTTTCTTATAGGGAGCTCTCCTCGTAAACATACAAGTCTTTGCCTCCTGGAAGAAAAGACCCCAAAGGTAGCAATTCTGCATCTTTTATCAGAATTGCCAAAACAGGGGCTATATATATATTTCTGTTTGACAGGGTGAGGGGCCATTTTGTTGGGAATGTGAGTCCACGGTCAATCTGTCCCTGCTTTCCCAAGAAGCCCAGTTGACCTGTGCTCCAGCCTTTGGAAAATGATCCCAATTGTGTGAGAGCCCTTGCTGAGTTTAGACATGATTCAACTGCAGCCTTGCTTGAGTCAAGGTAGTAACTCTGGTCCAGGCAGGGTTGGCTGGGCTAGAGCCAGGCCTGGGCCTGAGAAACCTCAGCATCCTGACTCAGCAACAAAGCTGCTCCAGCTGCTCATTTCCTGGAGTGGAAACAGATCTGCCCTAACCACACATCAGGATCACAATAGGATTCTGCATCTGACTCTACTTAGGAAACAGTAGAGCTGGGGGGACCTTGTGAGGTCAGCTTTTGTCCTGTCTTCTTTCCTAAATGAGATCCCAGAGAGGCCTAGTGGCCTGACCACACAGCTAGGAGTGGCAGAACCCAGAACTGAGTTCTGGTCTCAAACCCCAGGGGCACGGTCCTTAATAGTGTTTAGTGGTCTTTGCTCGGCTAGTTTTGGAACCAGACATGAATCCCAACTCCACTCCCAAACTGAATTTCTCAGGAGGGAAAGTCCCATCCTAGTGCTTTAAAGCATCTTTACTAAGTAGGTGACAAGTTCTTCTAGGGTTGGGGCCAGGAAAGCAAAGGTCAAGCTATTTGTGGCTACAGCTTGTGGGAGTGTCCAGTTAGCAGCTCTGGCTCAGAGAATAAACCTCACTGAGGACAAGGCATTGCCTCACATCAGGCAGAAGATGAAGGCACAAAGGAGTGAAACTACATTTTGCTGGCCCCTGCTGAAAGCTCTGTTTGGTGTCAGCAACAGGGGCATTCTGCCGCCTGGCGGGAGGTATTTGGGGCTGAGCCTAGCAACACAACTCCATGGTTGCCCGTATGCTTGTGAATGCTTTGTAAGTCAGCAGAAATACTGCCTCTGAGAACTGAGTCCTGTCCTAACCTGGGGGCCAGGAAGGGGCTTTTATAGAACAATCAGAGGTATTTTAACTAGCTCTGAAGGCAAAGATCTATTGTTTCTATAGCAGGGCCAAGTCAGTAGGTGAGTGGGAAAAATTGGATGTGCTCCTCTCCTTGCCTGGGGAAGTGGGCAAGCCTGGCAGGAGACAGGAGCCGAGAAAAGGAAAGACTAAGTAAGAGAAGCAGAAACACAGGATACACGAGTTGGGAAGCAATGCGACTCACAGCTCCACACTGAGGGGTTTATCTCTGTCTTGCAAAGCCTCCCCTATTAGCAGTGAAACCCTTACCCCTCTATCCTGAGTTGCCTTCGAGGCTAATATCTTACTTGCTGGGGGCAGAGTAAAGGATGCATGAAAGTGCCTACAAAAGATTTTGGCCCCGCACATGCCGGGGTTGCAGGCTCGATCCCCAGTCGGAGGCATGCAGGAGGCAGCCCATCAATGACAACTCTCATCAATGATGTTTCTCTCTCTCTCTCTCTCCCTCCCCCCTCTTCCTCTCTCTGAAATCAATAAAGATATATTTTTTAAAAACCAAAAGATTTTGGCCCCATCTTCCCTTAGAGATTCTTCAGTCCTTCTGGAGGTGCCACCACCACGTGGTGGCTGTAGCCCGCAAGCCTGCTCCACTCTCATACTTGTGTACTGGGAGGAGACCCAGACGACTGAGCTCTGGTGTCACACACCAACTGAGCTGTGCCTGAGTCCTTTACTGAACAGTGTACAGGACACTAGGCTAGTGCTTCCCATCTTACCCGAGCCTCACAACCACCTAGGAAAGACGTTTATCTTCACCGTATTTTAGAGAAGGAAACTGAGGCTGAGATTCCTGTTGGCAGGAATGGGGCTACTAAACAGCAGAGCTGGAATCCCAGCTGTTACTCCAAAGCCTGTGCTAAACCTCTAGGCTGTACTGATGGGAACACATCTCAAGTCCACAGTTTTATTCTGTGGACTTGTTTACTGCATCTAAAGCATGAAAGGATAGAATTCTTGCTCTTAATACTAATATGTGAGCCTCTCTGGATTAATAATAGCAAGGAATCTGACGCTCATGCAGCACAGCCTGGTTTATTTTAAGACATCAGATATGATGGATTTCTAACAAGTGCTCCTGAGAGGCAGAGGCAGCCCTCTTCAGGAAGAGCTGTTTGGGCTTCCTTGAGGCTGGCACCTAGAGTTTTCTTGTTCATCCAGCCCCAGCAGGTATACCTTCACCCCCAAGCTCCTGAAGAAAGGGACACATCACCTCCTTGCATACACAGGGCCAGACGGACAAAGTACACATGAAGTGGCCAACTGCCTTTACTCATCTCCCTCACCAGACAACACTTCCAGAATGTGAAACCAACAGGATTTCATCTAAAAATTTAAAAAATTAAATAGAACACCAAGTTGATATTCAAGATATTTATTGATTTAACAACAGCAACCATTGGTGAGAATTAATTCCCCCCCCCCCAAATTTCCAAACGCCTGCTGGTTTGGAAGGACAGTTAAACAAAAAACAAACCCAAAACAACTGATCACAGAAACACGCAGGACTGCCTCAGGGCTACATGGTGCCCTCTGCTATCCATCCATGACAGTGAAATGGATGGGAGGGGTCAAGGGACAACCATATCAAGGGGGATGAAGGAAAGATCAAAGAAAGAACTGGCAGTCTCTGCTTTTTCCATTCAGAATGGATGGAACCAGGCCACTGGAGGGACGGGCATTTTTTAATATATAAAATATTTTAAAGATGCTTAAAATGGACACCTGACTATGTGAGTGTCCACAGGCTCTCTAAGCCACCTTCTTTAAGGTTTAACCCTGGGTAGCAGAGGGGCTCCTTACCTAGGTGGAGGGAGATGGGCTCCATCTTCAGGTGAAGGAAAGGCACTGGCTCACAGTACTCAGTGATTTGGACACATAACAGGATGGCTCACCCATACAATTCGCCCCTTATCCCTACAGTGTTCCTCCCCCACTCTCCTGGTTTCAAGTAAAAATTACCCTTGGCTGGGGCTGGGGTTTTTGCCTTTTTAAAAAAAGATTTAAGATGGAGAGGAAGGGATTACAATGGGGCAAGTATGGATATTCTGTGCTAGATTCATGGAATTCTCTAAGTTTGAAGTGTCCAGGAATTCTGGTTTTAAGCACTAGCAAGAGTTCCCTTTGCAAATTTCAGCGTGGCTAAATGATTATCAAGCATTGCAGCATCTCTCAGCCAGCCTTCCACTCATAGGAAGATGGCAGAGTTAGAGTTTAGATACCCCTGAAAATGTGTTTTCGTCTCGATATTTTCCATCGGGCATCCATACAGTATGGTCTGCCAGGGCTGAAGGCAGAGGTTAAGCAAAGAGTAACCACAGACCGTCTGAACAAGGCCTTGAAAGACTTCTAAGTCTAAGCTTTGCCAAAAGGTATCAACCTCCAGGACCAGAACAAAGAAATGTAAATTCTAGAAGGTGAAAAGGGTGACCTGAATGACTGTTTGAAAAAATAGGTATCAATCATCCTTAGTCTTCAGTAAAAAATTTCTGTGAGCTAGCCTCAAGGAAACTCCAATACTCAACTGGAAAGTCATTATGAGAACAGGAAATGACCCTGGGGTATAAACATTCTAAAGAATTGAGACCCAGTGCCTCAAAATCTGATTTCATCTTTTACTAAAGGCTGAGAGGTCAAGAACTTGGGTGGGGGGTAGTAAGTGTGGTAACTACATCTCCCTTCAAGTCCAGACAGAAACTGCCCTCCCAAAGAAACTATGCTTTTTAAAAACAAATACTGACCCCTCCCAGAGGTCACGGGTGGGTGATTGGGTTTCGCAGATTAATAAATAGCTGCATGTAGTCCAGAAACATGCCAAGAAGGGAAAGTCTTGACCCAAATAAAGGCATTGGGCCTCACCTTTAAAGGGAAATGCGAAGGGCTGAGGGCCCTGGCTTGATATCAGCCGAGATGCCTGATACCCCATTGAGGACCCAAGATGGGGAGACTAGAAAAAGGTTCTGTTTCTGGGATATTGCTGCCAACATGATGAGCCCCTTACACCAGTGGCCCTGATTCAAAGCAGGTGCTCAATACATACTGGCTGAATGATGGACTCTAGGGTGAAACCCACACAAATCTAGCAGGCTGCATTCCAGTGGAAGTGTTTGAACTGGGAAGGTAAGTTCTGAGAATCCCGAAGAGCTGGTAACCCAAACAGCAAAAAACACCATCTATATTGACTCCACCTTAAAATCAGAAGGAAAAGTAAAATTTACTTAAAGGTGCTTTAAAGATGAGTTCCTTACTTCTGGAAGAAATACCTTTTTCTTACAGCTGCCTCAGTAGCAATGCTTTTTATTCAAGTCTACGCTAAAACAAGCAGGGCTACAGATAAGAAAATGCTGGTGAGACGCAGAGTGTAAATCTATACAGGATGAGTTCTTGTGGGGCTTTTCTTCAGCTCAGTAACCCAACATCCAATTCATGTTTGCTCTCTTTGCAGACAACTCTGACTTGGGTTAAGTCAGCTTCAGTGGACCATTTATGAGGATCCAGTTCCCTTTGTCAAATCCTCGTTAGGGGGAATAGCAAGTAAGTGGCACTGAGTCTAGGGAAACCCAAGCACAGGACTTGCAAAGCAGCAGCATCTTTGGACTGCTGGTAGCCAGGCAAGGGTATAGGGATTAAATTCTCCTGGGAACTGCCATTTCCTCCCACCCTTCTAAAACCTTCAGGTAGCTTTCAACAAAGAAAGTCTGTCCTCTATCCCTGTTTAGTGACACATATCTCAGAGAACTGTTTTCAGTAGCAACATGTCTATCAATATATCATCTAGTTTAAACCTAACCCCCACTCCCATGCGCCTGGTTTCATCCTGTTAGGGGTGAGGTGGCTTTAAGGTATATCCACAAATTCTTCGATACTGCTCTGTTCAGTAGGTGGGGTCTAACTCTCCCCTGGAGTGAAGCCTGGGCGTAGTGGCTGCTTCTAAGGAGCAGAATAAGGAAGAAGCGAGGTGTGTGCTTTCAAAGACTGTCATAAAAGGCACTGCAGATTCCTAGCTCCCCTTCCCCAGGGTCACTCACTCAGGGGGAAGGCAGTTGCCAGAGTATATGGACACTCAAAATGCCCTACAGAGACCCACATGGGGAGAAACTGAGGCATCCTGCCAACAACCACAAAGAGAGCCTAAAAGCGGATTCTCTAGCCCCAGATGACTGAAGACCCTGCCAACATCCTGACTGCAGCTTTCTGAGACCCCTGTGCCAGAACCAAGATGCTAAGCTGTTTCCAAATTCCTCTTTTAAAAAATGTTTTTATTGATTTGAGAGAGAGAGAGAGAAAAAAAGAGAGAGAGGGGAAGGGAGAGAGGGAGAGAAACATGGATGAAAGAGAACCATCGATGACTTGCCTCCTGCATGCCCCACTGGAGATTGAATCCGCAACCCGGGCACGTGCCCTGACGGGGAATCAAACCAGCAACCTCTAGGTGCTCAACCAACTGAGCCACACCAATCAAGGCAAATAGAAACTGACAGATGATGTTTGCTCTTTTAAGATTTTAAGTTTGGGGGCAGTTTGATAATACAGGTGGAAGGACAAAACTCTTGGTTTGGAAGCCTAATACCTAGAAGCCAGTTTCTCTACTCTGTGCTCTTGAGAATGTAATAGCTATTTAAACAGAATGAGGACGTGGTGAGCTCAAGAAACCACACTATAAAGAACGGAGAACCATGACAATGATGTCTCCTGCTGCAATTTGGAGGGAGAGGGCATTGTCATTAAGATGGACTGTCTCCAGAAGTACAAAAACATGGTTTCCTCTTAAAAGAAAAATATAAACAATCACTAAGATTTTAAGAAACATCTCATTCAAATAGTACCCTAAGGATGTTCCCTCCCAAAGAAAAAGCCAGGAGAGAGAGTTCATTTAGGGCTTTATCTGTGAATTTCCTTCCAAACGTCCAGAAGTAAACCACCTAACTGGATTCTGGCTTGCCCTGAAAATGATTCTATGAGGCATGGCACAAAGCTGTCATCTGCTGGAAGTTTATCTGTTGCCTTGTGAAGTTATCTTTAAAACACCAATTTATGAAGCTGCAGTATTTCTAGTAGCAGTGGCCTCCAAGAAAGAAGTGGGCCACGGAGTAAGGAAGTCCTTGCAGAGAAGGCTAGGGGATCTCACTGCTGTTGTACTATACTGCTGACACTCCCAAGAATGCTAGAAACATGGCTTCTGATTAGGGGGCCACGTGCAGATTCTCCAAGATGGCAAACAAGGGGAAAAATAGTATCTTGATACTATTCAAGCTGGGATGTTTTAGTTCCATTCCCCACTGTTTTGTGAGAAAGCTGACTTTTCATGTGCAACAATAAAGATAAGAAGAGGACGCTCCTCTGCTCACTGACAGGCCGAATAGCTGTAGTTGGAGTCAGATTCCACAGGGGGCCACGGTCAGGGTATGAAGAATGAAAGCTTCATTCCTAATGAATCATGCTCCCAGGGGACAAAGAGGTCCCAAGCAAGCTTCTCATGCAAATTACAGTGCAACTTGAAATTTTCCAAGAGAATGTAAAGTGAAATTTGGAGTTTAATTAAAATCAGTACAGGGATACATACAGTAAACAAACATAACATACGTTCCTGATCATCAATTTCTGAGACTGAAAGCATCTCCAAAACTCTGGAGGTCCAGCTTACTCCTGAGACATCAACCATCACAAAGGGTTTCACTCTTTGAACTAGTCACATTTTATAGCAGAAAACAGAACAAAGTTTCTCAAACATCCTCCCTCTTTTGTCTAAGATGTATTTGCAAATAGGGTCTTTTCATAGTTCAAAAGAAAAACAGCTTTCTTTCTTAGCCAACTGGCATATTACTCTCACCCTGGGTTGTGATCTTTCAATAGAGGACTCAGGGCACCAAATCCAGCCAGAAATTCCCAGGACACCAGGGGTACTTGTCTTTCTATGAGGAGACAGAGGCATTAGTCTTTCTAAGAGGGGAGTCACACTCCTGGGATTACTGTGCCAGTCAATAGTCATGGGGGTGGCTGGGGAGGAGGGCGAATGACAGAGCAAAGGGTAAGGGAAAAGAAGGAAGCTTTCATGAACAACCCACGACAAGGCAGAATGGTCCAGCTTTACCAACCACCCGTTACAAACGCCAAGCATGCACACCCAAAACTAGAGGAGGAGGAAAGAGCTCATAAGGGACCACAGGGGACAAAGGATGGTGACATGGAACAGCAGACTCGCCTACAGACATTTCTCACCTTCCTAACACTGGAAGATGTGATTAAAAAGTTGCTGTTCAAATTTTACTGAAAACATATCTAAAAATAGGTCTGTAGTCATCTTAAAAAATAAAAGGTCACTCCTCAGATAAGAGGAGTGACAGATATTATCAGATACCAACACTTGAGGTATCTTTGATGTGTATTTGAAAAATGGCCTGGCAGAGAAAAGGGAGAGATAGAGGGAGGAAAGGAGGGGGGGAGGAAGGGAAAGAAAGGGAAAATTCAGAGTACAAGGGAAAAGGCAAGAACATGGGAAGGAACACATTTTGAAGCCCATGCTTATCTATCTCAGCAGCCAAATAAAGCAGGTCCGCAAAGGAAAATAGTTTTTCTAAGAACATTCTGGAAATCATCTTTAAACTCAAAATATAAAAGACTGCAATCTGAGATAACAGATATTACAATGTTCATGGACTGAACAACAATGACCACTGAGACTAGTTACTCAAATGGGCCAATGCTCTTCCAAAATCATTCTTAAGTATTATCTACAGGATACTATGATCGGGCCTTATCAAAAGTGCTCTATCAATCACTTGGTATGGACCTGCTCTGGGAGCAGTGAAATCACCTGGATGCTCAGAGTACAACAGGACGGCAAGCAACATGATGCAAGTAGGGAGGAATGGAAGAAGAGGAAAGAACAGCTGGTGACCGACAACCCCCTCATACAGTTTAAAATTTTTTGCACACATGTGCTAAGTTAAGAAACGGGAAGGTGAACTATAACACCAAAGACAGTAGACATTCTTCCCAGAGGATGGAGAGGAAGTAGACCTCAGAACAGTGTCACAGGGCAGTGCTATCAGAGTTGTACAACCTGTGTGGGCCCCAAGGACAAACACCTCAAGGGACAAGAGAAAGCAGCTCTTTCCTTGTTTATTTCCCTCTGGTTTTGAAGACCCAAACCAGGCTCTTGTAGCACTGAATCATGGGCGGGAGACAAGGAGGAAAGACACAGTAAGAACGTGAACAATGCTGAACCCACCAAACCTCTGTAACACTTCCCAGACTTCCCAGCTGGCATTTGTTGGTAGGTTGGCATTTGATTTGAGATTAAAAACAACAACAACACATTTTAGGGGCGGGGGTGTGTCTCTCAACACAAAAATGACTAGGGAAGCCAGACTTCAACTGGTTTCCTTTGTGGGCTGCTTAGTTCTATAGAAATATGCCATGGGCCTTTGATCTTCAATCTAATCTAACTGGGAAGGGAAATAGGAAACAGGGAAAGAACATGGTCAGATGAAGCTCATCATCTTTGCATCATTTGGCACCCAGAGGAAGAGGAGGAGGGGGAGACTGCAATGGGGACGGCTGGCACTGCCTCTTCTGTGTTTTCACTGTTGATTCTATTGGCCCAATCAAGTACACACAGGCATCAGTGTTGCTGCTCTTCCTCTGATCCTTGCAGGACGGTTAGATGTCCATCTCAAACTGAGCATCATCCCCTAGTTAGAATGAAAGAGATGAAAAGTTTTACACAAAAAGGAAAGGCAAAACATCTTTGTCATTTCCTCTGCACAAGGGTAAAAATTAATTCAAACGGTCTATCCTCTGCTGCTTTAAAACAATTACTCTGCTTTGCTTTGGCTGTTTTTTTTAATAAGGGGGAAAAGAATGGCAATGAAATTACCGATTGGAATGAGCATCTGAGAAAGAGATGCAAGTGAAAACTTTCCCTTTGTCCACAGGTTGACCAAACAGAAATTCTTGGGGTGCTTCTTGCCATCTATCATATCAGCACACTCTTCTGGAGGCTTTGAACTTTGGCTCTGCTTTGAATTGGCATTTTGTCCATTAAAAACTCATTTGGAATTTGAGGAGGCAGAATGTTGGCTCATGTATGGGGGTCACGAAGTGCAACCTGAGGTGAACTTCAGGAGCTGGCTGTTTCTACCTCCCTCTTCTGCTCCCAGAGACAGCAAAGAGTCATTACTAAATGTGTGTGTAGGGGCTGTTTATTTAAATATTATAGGCAATCCTAGAAAATAGGAGAAAACAACATACTGTTTTTCCCCACACCATAAAAACAATGGAAATGGGGGATATTAAATTGTTTTGGAGTTTTTTTTGGTGTGTTTTCCCTAGTCCCAAAAAGCCCAAGTTCAAGAATTCATCTTTGGAATTTACCATTCCCTGATTTTGGGTTTTTCTTCTGCACCAACTAGATGAAATTTGATTATGCTTCAGAACTTAGGGTTTCCAGAACATTTCAATTAACTTTGGTGAGGGGAATGTGTCAGGAAGGAAACCTTAGAGACACATAACTAACTGAACATTAGTTATAATTAAAGCATTTTTCAACCCACAGCTGACTGATATTCAAATTTCCAGGGCCACCCCCTTGGTCCCCAATACCAGCATTCTCTTACCAACTGCATGTTTCCTGTCATGATTGTTCAAGTTGTTCAAATTGTTTACTTCTACTTTGGAGTCTTCGATTAAGGTGCCAGGGCTGGTGACTCCTGGGATATTGGGCAGATGGCAGGGTGGGGTCTGAGCCATGGGAGAATTGCGACGATCCAACAGAAACTTTCGATCATAAATGATTCGGGTTCCTAGAAAACATCATTGGGCAGAACTTAACAAATTAAGAGGTTATCAACATATAATACTACCCAGGAATTTATTTTAAATCCTATCTAATTCTAACCCCTAAGGATTTTACAATTCAAGCAAAAAGGGTTGGCTCTAACTTGCCTGGTCCCTCTGCTATCTGGAATGCCTTTTCCTTTTCTCCTGCTGGGGAAATCCCGTGCTTAAGCCTCAGTTCCAACATCGCTTCCTTTACAAAGCTTATATCAATTTTGTCGTTCCACTTATTCATTCATTCATTTCATTGGTTGCTTCTTGTATGTGCCCTAACTGGACACTGAACCCACAACCTTGGTGTATCAGGACAACGCTCTAACCAACTGAGCTACCAGGCCAGGGCCTTTAAAAAAAAAATTACTTCCCCCCATCTTACTCAATACACATGACCTATTACAGAACTCTTTACCTATTTGTGCCTCGAAAGACTGAGTTCCTTATGCCAGGGCCATGGCTTATTTATATCTGACCCATGTCCTAATCATTAAGTAGATCGTCAAAAAAGTTTTAAGTAAAGTTATAAACAAGTATGTGAAAAAACAGCCAATAGACCGATAGCCACCTTTAGGTTAAAGGCACTGAGACAGACATTCTTTCCAGACAGAGCTATAGTACAGACGCTGAAACCAGCAGCCCTCCTGTTTTACAAACAAGTCTGCTAACCAGTAAGTGCTACCAGAATATTTTATAATAGTTCTGAAGAGTGCACTTTACCTGATAAACAGTTAACAAAACCTGCTGCTGTCCATTTCTTCTTCTTGGGCTTCCCAAGGTACTAATGACTACAAATGAGACATAAAACTAAGTAACAATTTAGAGGTGCCTGATGTTGGATGCCTGGAGCCCTGCTGCTAATTCTAAGACTACAGCAAGCTGAGGAAGAAAGAATGTGGTAACCATGAGATGATGTCTGTTGAACGAGTAAGGTGGAAAGGGGAGTGGCAGCCCAGCATACTAGCCATCCCTGCCCAAGTAACAAAAGGATGTAGTCATGTGGCAGTATCTTGCTCATACTAGGCTTAAACCCAGGAAAGAAAAACCTGCTTTAAAGGTTTAGACATCCAGTTTAAGGCAATATTATATGAAAATAAAATTTTGTGCAAAGTTACTCAGCTTAAAGAGGCAGAATGTAAATACTACCTGCTGGTCAACGTTTTTAGAGTCCAAGTAAAAAGAAAGAATACTGTCATATTATAATAAGGAATCTGGTTCAGGTAGATTTCCTCAAATAACATGTGACAAGCTATGTCCTGGGAAATGGAAGAACAACTACAACAGCTAACTAATCTACTTGAAATGTGAGGAAGCAAGTGGAAAAAAAGCAAGGCATTTACTGCAAGAGGAACTGAAACGCCAGAGTCTTCCCAGCAAAGGAAGGAAATAAATATTTAATCTAAATAAATAATACCAAAATTAAATAGTTGGGAAATGAATTACAAACTCAGTAATTCCCTTGGGATTGATTAATAGCTGTGATGGTACCATGACACTTTTATGCAAATGCTAGTAAATAATTTCCTTTTGACTAGATGGAAAAGTCAAACTACGTGAGGAAGTGGCCAATAGAGACTCTACCCTCCACCCCCACCATCCTTGCTTTAACAATCAAAATTAAGTACTAAACATACTCTCTTCTCAATAATATTCACTGAAAAGAATGACAGCGTTTCAGAATGGAAGAATGTTCTCCAATGGGGATCTATTGGCACATGAAGGCTTTTCAAAACAAAGCCTTTTAGGCTTTCAACCAACCCCAAGGGATATCAACTTTTTTTTAACTATCTAGTTCTGTTGCAACTATAATGCACACACAATCATATTTATAGTTTATAAACTGTGACAAAATATCTGGCTCTCAGCTTCTCCATAATAAACTACTAAGAAAAATACTGTGTCATACTTGGAACCTACTAAGACTGCATTTTTGCAGATATCTGCATCAGAATCTTTGAAGATGTTTGTTAAAAAACATTTCAACTGAATTAGAATCCTTGGGATTAGAACCTGGAAATCAGTATTTTTTTCAAAGTTCCCTAGTCATTCCTGTGTTCATTAAAGAATCCAACATTATCCTTCTTCTGAAACCCTAGTAACAGTGCTTTAAGAGATGAAATATCAAAGAATTAGTAAGAAAGGGAGGGAAGGGGCAATAGAGAGCATTTTGATGGATGATGCTGAGACTCAGAAAAGTGACTTAATCAAAGTCACAGAGCTAACCAGAAGCACAATCTGGACTGATCCCGTAGACTCCCAGTCCAATCCTCTTTCCAGTCTACCTCACAGTCACTATGATCTCCAAAAGTGGGAGTGAGTTGCCTAAAGTGAAAGGGATGGAAGGCTATATTAATATAAATAACAGGGTAAACAGCACATTGTATGGCAAGCAATTTATATAAATAATACAGACCACCAATCATTTGCCCTAAAAGCACCACTTCTCAAGCTTTTCAAGACTTAATCTTTGTACTTCTTCTAACGTGACAGAGAAATGTACAATTTTTAAAATTATATGAATAGGTAGGTTCTATAATTTAAGAAATTCATCTCAGAATACTAAGAGCATTACAAACTATTTGATAATAAAAGGGTAGAGATGATGATCTCTAAAGGACAGCATGGCAAAAACCAGGTTAACAGCTGTAATTGTGTTAATGGTGCTTCTTCCACCTATAAGGCCAGAGGAAGTAGGCAAAGGCCAAGACTTCACAAAGGAAGCCTCTTAGTCCTCTGAGAGTGGGCTAGAATTAGCTTCCTTTTTTTACTGTAAGAAATATTTAGGCGCAAAGGCCCACAGTCCATTTGTGATGGGACCATGATCCTAAACTTAGCAGAATAGTTTTACATGCTTCCCTCCAACCCATTTATTAGAACATTTAGAAAAGTTGGAAATCATTCCTTGTTAAAAAGAGACACAAGTCTTATATCCTGTTTCTAAAGAAGAGACAAGTCTTATATCCTTTCAAATATAATTTTAAGACAAGAAAAGTAGAAATTTACCTTCACCCTCTTTGATTTGAAAAATAAGAATTATAGCCCTGGCTGGTGTAGCTCAGTTGGTGGAGCGTCACCTCGTGCACTGAGAGGACGCCAGATGGAATCCCCGTCAGAGCACTTGCCCAGGTTGTGGGTTCAGTCCCTGACCATACGGGAGACAGCCAATCAATGTTTCTCTCTCTTTCTCTCTCCCTCCTTTCCTCTCTCTCTAAAAATCAATAAAGACTATTAAAAAAAATAAGAATTATATATTTTATTTTATTATTATGTTATTTTTATTATATTATTTTTATTTATAACAACTCAAAAAGGCATCTGGAAATTATGAGTCTTTTGGACAGCAGAAAACAGTTCACCTTTCAAAAAGTGAATAATTTGAATTATTTTGGGTGAAAATTTTTCTCATATGGGTTTAAAACACTTTACTACCTTAAACAGAAAATTCATCTTGATGAATCAGGCTCATTATTAAAATCTTTTTGTCCCCATTTAAACTTTTAAAATCTTTATTGTTGAAAGTATTACAGATGTCCCCTTTTCCCCTCATTGACCATTGACCCCTTCTACCCTGCATCCACCTGAAAATCATCTTTTACACTATGTTGTAACCTAGGAAGTCTCAGGGCCAATTCAACTGATGCTCTTTATTTTCCTTACACTGTGTAGAATTCAGATTGCCACGGTTGTACTTGTATCCCTCCCTCCATAGTTTGTCTCCTCCCTCACTCTTAGGCTAAGTTCCCCATGTCTTAGCGTGGGCTGCCGCAACAAAATACCATAGGCAGCATAGCTTAAACAAAAACTTTACTCTCTCACAGTTCTTGGGCAATCCAAGATCAAGGTGCCAGCATGAACTGTTTCTGCTGAGAGATCTCTTTTGGGCATGTAGATAGCTACCTTTTCACTGTGTTTGCATATGGAGAAGGGGAGAGCAAACTCTCCAGTGTCTCATCTTATAGGGGCATTAATCTCATCGTGAGGGCCCCACCCTTATGACCTATTCTAAACCTAATTACCTCTCAAAAACCCCAGCTCCAAATATCATCACATTGGGGGTAGGGCTTCAACTTCTGGACAGGGGTGTGGGGAGGGGGTGTGGGAGGGTGTGGCAAGATTCTGCCTATAGTTCACCCTTCACCCATTCAAACTTGAAGCTTCTTATCTGTTTGGTTTGGAAATCGGTGATCTGCTCATTTGAATGCTATGTAAAATAAGAACAAATACACCAAGAGGGGGCCTGATGGCTTTCCAATGAACAAAGGGAAGGAACTTTAGTGGATGGACTTTGTATATCTGTGTGTCACCCCCACTTTTGTTGTCACCACTAGATTTCAGAAGGGTGAGGTTTTACTGTGAAATGTTCTTACCAACATTAAACCTGCAAGTCAGAAAAAGCTTATTCTTTTTTTTTAATCCTCACACAGGATATTTTTTCCATTGCTTTTCAGAGAGAGTGGGAGAGAGAGAGAGAGAGAGAGAGAGAGAGAGAGAGAGAAATCGATGTGAGAGACATCGATTGGTTGCCTCCCGCACATACCCAGACTGGTGATGGAGCCTGCAACCAAGGTACGTGCCCTTGGCTAGAATCGAACCCAGGACACTTCAGTCCATGGGCATACGCTCTAGCTATTGAGACAAACTGGCTAGAGCCAAGATTATTCTCACTTTTGCAATACCCCAAGCTTGGAAATTGGAGATGAAGTGTTAGAAAAAAAGCATAGGATAAAGTAAGCTTTCTATTTCTAAATTACATATTAGCAATAACATATGCATTAAAGAACTGTAATTGAAACAACTAGGAAATAATATTCTACCTATATGTGTGAGGTATGAGAAACTTGGAAGAACTTCTATGATTGCAGAGGTGGCAAGATACATTTTTTACGCTTTATTGAGATATAAGTCGCATATAATTCATTCATTCAAAGTGTGTAATTCAATAGTTTTTAGGATATCCACAGAATTGTGCAGC